ATTGGTGGCACTAACATCCCTAGTTTGTGCACTAGTATTGGTGGCACTAACATCCCTAGTTTGTGCACTAGTATTGGTGGCACTAACATCCCTAGTTTGTGCACTAGTATTGGTGGCACTAACATCCCTAGTTTGTGCACTAGTATTGGTGGCACTAACATCCCTAGTTTGTACACTAGTATTGGTGGCACTAACATCCCTAGTTTGTGCACTAGTATTGGTGGCACTAACATCCCTAGTTTGTGCACTAGTATTGGTGGCACTAACATCCCTAGTTTGTGCACTAGTATTGGTGGCACTAACATCCCTAGTTTGTGCACTAGTATTGGTGGCACTAACATCCCTAGTTTGTGCACTAGTATTGGTGGCACTAACATCCCTAGTTTGTGCACTAGTATTGGTGGCACTAACATCCCTAGTTTGTGCACTAGTATTGGTGGCACTAATATCCCTAGTTTGTGCACTAGTATTGGTGGCACTAATATCCCTAGTTTGTGCACTAGTATTGGTGGCATCTTATTAGGTGTTACTTAGTGGGTAAGGGAGTCCTTACCGTCCGCTGTCCTGGGCCTGTTGCGCCATGGCCTCTTACTGGTGGGAGGTTGGATTGGACGGTTTCTACCATCCACTGACACAGCCCAGGCCCAACCCGTTCTCTGCCCCGGCGAGACCTGAGTGCAGAGCCAGGCAGGCGCTGGTCTACACTGTGAGCCAGAGGGGGAAGCTCTCTTCATCGCCCTTTGCTCTCTCTCTGGGGAGATGATCATGTCTTGGAGACGAGCTCACCCTGGGTGTCAGCCCCCTCTTCCCCCCAGAAGCAGGCAGTGACATCCTAGGGTTTCAGAGAGAACAGGATAGCCACTGATGCTTGGGGGAGTGTTCTTGGCTTCAGATTGGAGGAGACGGAGCAGACAGTGGTGGAAAGCCCTGAGCGAGCTGCAGCAAGGAGCCCGGGCACCTCCGCCTTCTCGCTCTCCCTCCACACCCCTCCACCTCCGACACGTCTGCTCTCCTACTTTCCTTCACTGGGAAGCGGCCCACAGGGAAGAGGCTCAGTTAAGCTGTGAGCCAAGGACAGCGCGCTTTGCTGGTTTTCGTATTTGGAGGGAATAAACGGCCACTGGTTTAACAGCAGGCTCTAGTTTCCGTAGGTGTCTGAGAGCTGAAAGCACCCACCGACTGCCCTTGCAAACAGCAGGTGGCTGCGTTCTAGGACCAGACCAGTTCCCAGGGCTGCGTAGGAACCAGGGCACCAGGGGGTCCAGGCCCAGGAGGCCCTGACGCACCTTGCTCGCTGACTTGATGTGTCCTTCTCTAGCTGGGTGCTTCCTCCACCTCTCCTCAGGGAAGCCTCAGAATTCCTGGTAAACCAAGCAAAACTAGACCCTGAAAGTAGTCAGATGTTATCAGTTTAGGCTAATATCCTATACAGTAATACTTGTTTGACGTTGGAAAAAATTCGGTAGATTCTCTAAAAGGAATTGACTATCATATATATTAGAGAAAAATGTTTCTTACAAACTATACTTTCTGTTAAAGAGTCATAAGAAACGGTGTAAAAAAAAATAAATTATCTAGATATTTGATTTATATAAATGATTACTAGAAAGTGAGTGAGAGGATCCGGGTCCTTTGAAGTCTTAAAGTGGCCCACAAACAGTCTTCATGGTGTTAATATACAGTATGTTTTGCCCATATCACACAAGAATAAATTAGAACAATCTCAGTTGACCTTTATCTTTCTTTTTAAGGTTTTTGCCATAGAGTGTGTACTTGCTGGAAAGATAGAGAAAGACAGTAAGAAGGAAAGAGAGAAACCACCTCTCTCGGGGGATGGCCATGCTGCAATCCTTTCTCCTCCATTCTCCGCTGGGATTTGGGGCACATACAGGCATGTGCCCGGCGTGAGTTTCAAGCCACCGAATCTGGGACTCTAATGCAGCTGACCAGCACTAAGAGTCCCAGACTGTGGGAGCCCAGTACCTTAGCCACTGCACCACTGGCTGGCCCCAACCTTCTTCTTCCTTTTTTCTTCACGTTGTCCAACATCTTTTCTCCTCTTTCTTTTTTTATCCCATCTTTACCTCCACTTTGGCCAACTTCTCTTTCTTCTCCCATTCTCATTATCTTCATATCTCCCACTTCCCCTTTTTCATGATTTCTTTTAACTATGGAATTGGAATAAAAATATCTCAGACAGTAGACACATACAGCCCTTGAAGGCTGAACTTGCCAAAGTAAATAAATATTTCATTTTGATGAGTTCTCTTCACAAAAGTGAATGACAATGACATAGTCATCTTGAAGTGTCTATAAGCCAACACTTTTTAATACACTCATCTTGTCTATGTACTTTATAAAATTGTATTGAGGACGTACTATGTAGAGAATATAGAATAAATATATCAAAGTCGATCATCAAATGTCTAGTTCAAGGGGAAGCAAATACTTGGAAGATAAAATATTATATGTGTGATCAGAATTTAGAGGAAAAAAATCACTTTTTTTATTGGACAATGGTGAGAGAGGGTTTGAGAGAAGGCTTCAGAAAGAGGCTGACTTCAGGAAGTTAAATGATGGAGGCCGGTCTACAGGGTATATCGGAAGGATGGTGGTTTAAGAATGTATAAAAAAATTTAAAATAATTAATTAACTAATTAATTTAAAAAATCATGCCAGGCACATGTGCATGTGTGCCCCAAATCTCAAGAGGAGACTAGAGGAGAAGGGATTGTGGTGCGGCCACCCCCGCTAGGGAATGGTTTCTCGCTTTCCCTCTCTCTCTGAGAAATGTACATGTCCTATAGAAAAGGAAAAAAAAAAACACAAACAAACAAAAAACTAAATAAATAATATGGCCAAGGGGGAAAAAAAAGTATGGAGAAGTGAATAAGTAAAGTATGAAGGTGGAAAACTCAGTGACCTTTTAGAAGATAATGTTCACATGTTGAAATATTCACTTTGTAAGCTAAATAATGTGGTTGAATGTATCAAAGAAAATGAAATAAAAATGAAAATAAAAAAAGCTAAAGAGGATGCAGTACAGTTTCTTGCACTGCTGCAGTACCTGTATCAGAGTTTGCACTTGGTAAGCATACAGCAAATGATGATTTATAATGGCAAGTATTAAGGGTCTCTGGCACTGATGAGGTGAACTTGAACGTTAAGTCTTAGTTCAAATCATAAACATAGCCCATGGCTTTCCCCAAATGATCTCATAATATGTTGATTTATTATATACTAAATGAATTATTTTTATAAAAACAATATTCATTTTTCCTTCTTAGAAATGGTTATAATTTCAGTGGTTAAGAAAGAAAACATGATTGGAAATTTTATAATTCCTAATCAATTTAGACTAATCTGATTTGCCTTAGAACAAAGGTACCTGAAATGTGTCAGTTATATAAATGTTTCCTGTTTTTTCACTGATCACAGTAAGGTAGTTTACACCCATTAAGTTTCCTATGCTTTTCCAAATTTAACAATGTTAGTTTTATTTGAACAATAACTATAATTTAAGCAACCATCTGCCAGGACATGTTTTTTAACTTTTCTCCAATGAGTCCAATGAGCTTTGCCAAGCTGTTTACAAAAGTAGTCTGTTACTCTAATTCAATTTTAATGTCTTATTATAATTGCACTGCAAACATAGGCCAAATTGTATTAGTTGGTCTAAAAATTCTTATTAATAAAATGTAATCACTTTTCCTACCTCCTCCCCCCAAATGGAGAAGATAATGGGTTAAATTGACATAAGGAAAAAAGTTTATTGTAATAAAATTCAATTTTGAAAATCATCCATGTGAGTGGTGACAGACTTGCTGAGTGTTTAAATGCCAATATAGGGGCTGGCAGGTGGCATGGTGGTTAAGGACACCAGACTCTCACATGGCCGACCATGGCTGGAGTCCCAGGCCTGGAGGCTTGCCTTTATACTTTCCCTCTCTCTCTCTCTCACTCTCATTCTGTACCTCATTGGTCAAATTAAAATAAGTAACTAGCCTAAAAATTTTTTTAATTAAAAAAATTAAGTAAATAAATAAAGTTAAATAAAATAATCCTTAAAAATTTTTAAAAAATAAATGCCAGTATAAGTAGTAATGGGCTTTATTCAGCAGTGGGTGGAGGACATTTCCGAAGGTGCATAGAAAGGCTGAGCAGAGCCATGTGCAGAGCCAATCTGGGTAGAGGAGGGAGGGCCTCAGCCTTTCCTGCTCTGCTATTGCCTTACTGAAGTTCTTAAGGATTCTTTTATTTTAGAGAGATTTTTGCTATAGGGTGCATGTGCTCTCTAGAGCGACACAGAGAGACACAGAGTGAGAAACTACCCCCCAGGGAGGATGGCCACGTTGCAATCCCTCCATTCTCCTCTTGGGATTTTGGGGATGCACGTACTTGTGCCTGGTGTGTTTAAGCTGCCAGGTTGGGACTCAAACCACGGCCAGCTATGTGGGAGTCCAGCGACGTGACCAGTACACCATCTGCTGGCCCCAACTTCATGAAGTTCTTAATGATTTTGAATAAGGGGCCCATATTTTCACTTCACCACAAAGTGTGCAGCCAGTCCTACTGGGGCTATAAAAGATTGGCAAAAGAGAGGATATCGACAGGATGAGGATTTTCATGAGATGCCTGAGGGAGTCATTACATTAACACGACAAAAGTGACACAGTGACCCAAAAGTACGGAGATGCACAGTCCTAGGAAATTTCAGATAATGGGTTTTAAATTCCTGAGCAAATACTATAATTGTGTCAATATATAGCAATATCCAAGACTGAAGTGATATGGTCAGCATTTTTTATTTATCAAACAACACATTTAAGACTTGCAAACCATAGAATATTTAACGCATCATTTGGACCTGCTAAGATGAGGAAAGAATGGATAGGAAAAGTGCAAGCCTAAATGACGAGGTTCACGTGTAGGCACGGGATTTAACAGGTGGTCTGTGTGCTCCTCCTCCCACTCCTCAGCTGCCACAGGTGGGTTGAGCTATGGCGAGAAGCAATGGCACGTCCACTACAGACTTCATCCTCCTGGGCCTCTTCCCTGAGTGCCCATACGCCAGCCTCCTGGTCTACCTCATTCTCCTGCTCTACCTCATTGCCCTGATAGCGAACTGTGTCCTCATCATCCTGATCTGGGTGGACTCCCGTCTTCACACCCCCATGTACTTCCTGCTCAGCCAGCTCTCCCTCATCGATTTGTTGTACATCTCCAGCTCGGTTCCTAAGATGGTCATCAATTACTCCTCAGGGGAGCGCACAATCTCTCGCGTTGGCTGTGGAGCCCAGATGTTTTTCTGCCTGACTCTCGGTGGTGCTGAGTGTCTCCTCCTCACCCTCATGTCCTATGACCGAGTTGTGGCTGTTTGTAACCCCCTGCGTTACACAGTCATCATGAACCCCAAGGTGTGCTTGCTGCTGTCAGCAGCCTCCTGGACTGGGGGTGCTCTGAACTCACTCATCCAAACCGTCTACACCATGCATTTCCCTGTGTGTGGCCTGAAAGAGATCAACCACTTTTTCTGTGAGATGCCTGCCCTCCTGAAGCTGTCCTGTGAGGACACCTCAGATTATGAGGTGGTGGTGTTTGTGGTGAGCATTGCTTTTATCCTTACCCCCCTCGGCCTCATCGTGACCTCCTACGCTCGCATCTTCCTCGCTGTCCTGAGGATGAGCTCCCCTGAGGGGAGGAACAAAGCCCTGGCCACGTGCTCATCTCACCTGACCGTGGTGAGTCTCTACCTGGGGCCAGCCATTGTGGTGTACATGACCCCCGGCTCCGCCCACAGCCCGGAGCTGGACCAGGGCCTCTCAGTTTTCTACACCGTCCTCACCCCCATGCTGAACCCCCTCATCTACAGCCTGAGGAACAAGGAGGTGCTGGGGGCTCTGAGGAGGGTCCTGGCCAGGAACCAAATACCCAAATAGTTGGAGAAACATCATGCCAGAGTTTATACGTGGACCCATTCCTGTGTGAATATGAAAGCCTGGGGGTTGCTTATTTCTTGTTACACAGATTTCTGCTCAGGAATATAGATTACTTTAGAAGTGGGTTATTGAGTCTTCAGTCGTCTTACTTTGTTTGAGTTCAGTAAATAACTGCTTTTATTTGGAGAAAGGGCTGGGTATAAGTAGATGGAAGCACGTCTACTCTTTTTAACTAATCCCTTCACAAGCGTGGACGAGAACTCCTGCCCTCTTCTCTGTCACTACATGACCATCATGAGACTGCTCTTTCCCATTGTTTTTGTTGTTGGTTTTGTTTTTGGACGAAGTTTTTAACAATTTCAATTTCTTGTATACATTGAATCACATATGTCACTTAGCTTGCAAAGTGACTATTCCGACACGTATACATTTCTCACCAATCCAGTTGGAAATATTATACGCATCATCCTCAACAGACAATAACTCACCTCTCTGTACCATAAATACCCCGCCCCTCCATTTTTCTCCCCAATGTCCCTCCTCAGTCTCTCCTCCTTCACCCACGCTTTTCTCACAATGTCTCCGGTATTAATAACCATTTTCTGTGTTTCTATATCCTCTAATCATTCAGTTTTGGCTATAGAGTGTGGACACTCGGTATATATTAAGTGGAGACATACAGTGTCTCTTCTTCTTAGCCTGGCTTGCTTTACTCAGCAGTAAATCTTTCATATTCATCCTCATTCTCTCAAAAGCCAGAGTCTTGTGTTTTTTTTTTGTTTTTTTTTTTATGGTTGAGTAGTATTCCATAGAGTATATGCGCCACACTTTTTTAATCCATTCATCTGTTCATGGGCATTTGGGTTGATTCCATGTCTTAGCAATTGTGAATAACGCCACAATAAACATCGGTGTGCAAGCACTTTTCTGACTAAGGATTTGTCTGTCCTTTGGGTAGATACCAAGGAATGGGATTGCTGGATCATATGGTAGTTTTATTTGTAGATCTTTGAGGAATCTCCATATTCTTCTCCACAGTGGCTGGACCAATTTACATTCCCACCAGCAAGGTAGGAGAGTTCCCCTTTCACCACACTCCCACCAGCACTTATCATTTTTTTTTTTTAATCTTAGTCATTCTGACTGGAGTTAGGTGGTATCTCATTGTGGTTTTGATCTTCATCACCCTTATAATGAGGAATGTTGAGCATTTTTTCATATGCCTTTTGGATATTCATATGTCTTCCTTAGAGGACGGTTCTTTTTCAGCTTTCTCCCATCTTTTAACAGAGTCGATCATCTTCTTTCAGGACAGCTGCTTGAGGTCCCTGTGTGTTCTGGTTACCATTTACTTTTCTGATGCATAGTTTACAAAAGTATTATCCCATTCTGAGGGCTGTTGATTCACACTGATTATTGTGTCCTTGGCAGTGCAGAAACTTCGTAAGCTGATGTAATCCCACTTGTCTATTTTTGGCATTATTAACTGTGCTTTGGGGATCTTATTTAAGAAGTCTTTGCCTACCCCAATGTCTCTCAGAGTTTCCCAGTGTTTCTTGGCAGTAATTATAGTTTGAGGTCTTAGATTTAGATCTTTGATCCACTTTTAAGTTGATTTTTATTGATGGTGAGAGGTAGGGATTCAGATTCATCTTTCTGAAGGTGGATATCCAGTTTTTCCAGCACAATTTGCTAAAGAGATTTTCCTTTCCCCACTGGATTGACTGGTGCCCTTTGTCAAAAATCAGGTGGCTGTACGTTTGGGAGTTTGTTTCTGGGGTCTCTATTCTGTTCCATTGGCCCACCTGTCTGTTTCTGTGCCAATATCATGCTGTTTTGATTACCACAATTTTGTCTTACATTTTCAGGTCAAGGAGTGAGATGCCGCCACTCCACTCTTCTTGTGCAGGATTGCTTTGACAATATGAGGTCTTTTATGATTCCAGACAAATTGTATAATTGTCTTTTCTAGATCTGTGAAGAATGTCTCTGGCACTTTAATGGGGATTGTGTAAAAATGTAGATTAATTTCGGTAGAATTGCCATTTTGATTATATTAATTCTTTCAATTCAGAAATATGGGATGTCCTGCCACTTTTTGTGTTCTTTTCAATTTCTTTTTTTTAGCTTCTCTTAGTTTTCCTTATGGAGGTCTTGAACTTCTTTGGTTAGATTTATTCCTAGGTATCCTATACTTTTTGTGGCTATGGTAAATGGAATTACTTTTTTCAGTTCTATCTCAGTGTGCCTGCCGTTCATATAGAGACATGCTATAGATTTCTGTATGTTGATTTTGTATCCTGAAACTGTATTCATTTATTACTCCCAGGAGTTTTTTCATGGATACCATTGGGTCTTCTATGTATACAATTGTGTCATCTGCAAATAGAGAGGGTTTCACCTCTTCTTTTCTTATTTGAATGCCTTTTATTTTATTCTCTTGTGTTGGTGAGGACTTCCAGTACTATACTGAAGAAGAGTGGAGAAAGTGGGCATCCTTATCTTGTACCAGTTTTAGCGGAATGGTTTCAGCTTTTCCCCATTCAAGATGATGTTAGCTATGGGTTTTTCATAGATACCATTTATTGTGTTGAGAAATGACCCTTCTATGCTGATTTTGATGAGATTCTTGATCATGAATGGATGTTGTGTCTTATTTAACGCTTTTTCTTCATCAATTGATATGATCATGTTTTTTATCTTTCTTTGTGTTATTATGGTGTATTACATGTATGGTTTTACATATGTTGAACTAACCTTGCATCCCTGGAGTAAAGCCTACCTGGTCATGATGAATAATCTTTTTTATGTGTTGTTGGATATGATGTGCGAGTATCTTATTGAGAATTTTTGCATCTGTATTCATCAGAGATATTGGCCTATAGTTTTCCTTCCTTGTCCTGTCCTTGTCTGTTCTAAGGATAAGGGTGACTGAGGACCCTTTTTATCATTACTGTTGTTGCTATACAGAACATGCACTTGCTGGAGAGAGAGGAAAAAAGTGAGAAATCACGCCCTTCCCCCATGAGGAGGCATAGCCATGCCGCAGTCCCTTCTCAGTCATTCTCCTTGGGAGTTTGGGCATGCACACGTGACAGGGTGTGATTTTCAAGCCGCCAGGTCCAGCACTTGAACCAGTGCCTTAACCTCCACTCCACCTGCTGGCCCCCTGTAGACCCTCTTTAGAACACAAGGGTATTGGGGCTCAAAACTATTGGTGGTGATGGCCTGCAGTAGTATCCTTTAAATGACTGGTCTTCTTTATTCGAGATGCTAAGAGTTAACTACTTTCTTGATAAAGCAATATATATTCACAAAGCTTCAAAGGGAAGTCCTGGCCCCTCTTTGAATCAGATTCCAAGAACTTAAGCCAATATCCTAGAAATTAAGAAAAGGCCATTTTTGACATTGTTGAAACCTGATGTTTAGATACAAGTGTGATCCAAGCCTCGGGTCTGGTGCCTTGGGAAAATCATACCCTGGCACACGTGCATGTGTGTCCGAACTCCCAGAGGAGAATGGAAAAGAAGGGATTGAGGTATGGCCACCCTCCTCCCCCAAGGGTATATTGATTTCAAACTTTCCCTCCACTGCCTCTGTTTCTTTCTCTTCAGTGAGTGAACATGTTCTAAGGCAAAAACCTCTAAAATAAAAGAAATAATAATAAAAATCTGCAAGTTTTTGCAACTCAGCAAATAATCCTAATTTGATCCATATCCCATAAAAAATAGTTATTTTTTGCCTACTGAAAAATATGATATGGGAACCAGCAGTTAGCGTAATGACTATGTCACTGGACTCCCACGTAGTCGACCGCGGTTCGTGTCCCAGACCCGGTGGCTTAAAACTCACGCCGGGCGCGTGTGCATGCGTGCCCAAGATCCCGAGAGGAGAATGGAGGAGAAGGGATTGCGGCGTGACCATCCCCCC